AACGTCAGGTGATCCTTCAAATGTCAGTGAAAAGTGTTGAGTATACCATTAGTGTTCAGTCGTGTTTTTCATAGTTACCAGTGCTGATGGAGTTTTTTTAGAGCGTCATATTCTGCTGGAAACGTTTAATTTGAATGGTAATATGCCATAAGCTGAGGTGTATGAGTAACTTCACAAGTTGACCATAGTCTAGACCGATGACATGCTCATCTACTCCCAGAACCTGGGAGAACGAAATGTTGCAGCTCGTCCGGTCTTCAATGATGAGCCCAAAGGAGGCCACTTCACAGAGCCGGCTCAAGGCTTAAGAGAACTGAGAGGCAGGACAAGATGGCGGGCTGGACTTGGTTAACTTTAGATTTTACACAAATCTCATTATTTTGTTTTTCACCTAAAATAGTAAATAAAACATCCAAGATGTGTTTTGCCTCATCAAAATGTGGAATTTGATCAACAAACTACTCGTTCTAGGACAACTATGCCTTCGGCTAAATGACTTGGCTTCAAGTACGATGCCAGACGATTCAGAAATAAAAGGTACTGACTGCACAAACAGATAAACGACATGATGCATCTCATCACACACACACACACACACACACACACACATATATATATATATATATATATATATATATATATATATATATATATAATATTAAAGATCTGCTAATTTAAATATATTTAGCACTTTATAACTTTAGCACATTTTTAAAATAAGATTTCATATATTTAGGAAAAATATATGAATCAATCAACTTTCACTCATAAACGTTTGACCAAGTGTGCAAAACCTCTTTAATTATAAAATTAAGAACATTTACCATGTTGAGAAATTGGCTTAATTGTTTCATCACAGTCAGATTTGTGCAATCTTCATTTGAATTCTGTGGTCCCAATAGTCAGTATTTTGCACATAAACTAATTTGTATATTGAATTAATTTCTGCTTCTTTCAGGAGAGGAAAGCACAGAGAGCTCAAACCAATCGGCCTCTTTCCCAGCAACACTTCCTGCCTCTCCAGCTACAGTCCTGATCACATCACCACCAGGGGCGATTTTCATACTGTTGTAAAGAAACACTTGGACATGTGATTATGACATTTCAGGAACGTCTGGGACTGGGAAGTAAAAAACATACATTTTTTTTCCTGTGTTTGTAATTTTCCCTCTCTGTTATTTTAATGATATAATTTTAGTTTGTTAATCAGATTTGTCACATCACACTATTTTTTGTTTATTTTATTCGTTTTGTGGCTTTGCCATTCAATTTTAAATACAAATCTGTAAACTACAGTTCAAACATTGATATGATCCTGGAGTCAGTTTTTATTATAAAAAGTTTATTTCATATTCATTTAATGTTGAAGATATGCACAGCTTTTTAAATAAACTTGAAATATTGCATCCTATTTTCCTCTATACACAGTATATATGTGTATAAATGAGCCTTACCACAGTCAATAAGACGAGCTCTGTACAACAATATCTTTTGGTCTAGATTAAAGACTTTTATGTTTTCAAATACATTTTTTACTATTTAGTTTCTGTTTCCCTTTCTGTTTATTTGTTGGAGAGCACATTGGTCAATGAAAGTGGTTAATATTTTGTAATAGCCTAAAAGTAAACCATTAAATAAAATGTAAATAAATACAATTGCCATAGTCAAATAAACCAATATGTTTTAGGGCACGCATATTTACATATTTTTTATTTGGCATGGTTGTTTTAAGTTTCTTAAAGCTATTTTAATAATAATAAATAAAAACCTTCACTCAGAATGAATGATTAGCACTTCCCTGACCTAATAAGCTAATAGCTAATCAAAATAAACTGTAGTATATTTAGCTTTTTTAATCTTATTAATGCTGGTTGTCGTTGTATCTGATACTGGTTTATATTTTTGATTTTTATTTTTTGGAATGTATTTTGGTTTATTGTATTGCTTATAGCATTATTATGATTAATAATTTTAATAATACTATAAAAATATTAAATCACCCAGTCAGTGCAGGAAAATTATGAAAATTTAAGTATACAAAGCATCAAAAGAACAATGTCATTGCTAAAGTCCCGGTTGGACTGATATAGGCCTAGTTAATTATGAAGCAAATATAGAAACGAGAATATTAGTTCAGTGTTTTTTTTTTAATGAAACGCAAACCATCCCAAAAGCAAACAAAAATCAATGGTAATATTCACTAACATGACCAGATTTCTGAAACCTGTGACGATTTTCAGTGGTCAACATTCGTCCATATAAAAAACGCCCATTTATGCTTATTTTTTATTTTTTATTTATATAAGACCAGCATTTTATTTAATAATCATAATTTAGATATTTAGCTACTGCATTTAATAAAAACTCAATTATAAAAGCACGAGTTCGTGCTGATTTCATTAATTCACTGCTGATATTAAATATTGTTTACATTTAAATGAGGCTCGTCATTCTGTCTCTACAGCAACTTGAGTTGATCTTTAATATACACAGCTGGTTCTGACCCGATCGTCTCGCAACAAACTCTCGACAACTTTTGAAAAGTTTGATCAGTTTCTCTACTTTGGAAAGTTGTTCTTGGGTCATCTTGATGGAGCAGCGTCGCTCAAGAAGAACCAGGGCTCTCCCCGCACACACGAGTCACTTCTGGCTACAGGGCGTCTCTACCGTTGAGCAGCTCGCAGCGGCGGTCAGGTCAGATCACACCTACAGCTGCATCTCTGACCCAGCGCTGAAGAAGCGACACCTGATGAACGCGGCGGCCCTCCCTGTCCTCCGTCCCGCAGCAGCAGCAGCAGCAGCATCAGTGTCTTCCTCAGTGAACGAGTGTCAGCAGGAGCAGCAGCTCTCCATCCACGGCAGAAGCGTGCAGGACTATCAGCACATCTTTCGCTCCGTCGTGGAGACCGGCTGCAGCCGCTACCGCTTCAAGCGAGGCCTGGGGATCAAGCAACGGCTGTGGGAGAAGCTCCACCGGCCTACGCTGCTGGAGACCGAGCTGCCTGATGGACGAGTCTTGATCACGGAGAGCAGGTCCAGCGGAAGCAGCAGCGCTCCTCAATTCCACGTGGACATCAGTGGAGAGCCACTACCCGAGGAGGAACCCCGAAGAAAGAAGCCCAGACACTGAGCCATCATAGTGTCCCATGAAAGATCAAGGGCACGTATGTACATACTGTATATAGTTATAGAAGTGTTTACATTAAGTTTTCTTTTCATTCAAAGTTTTTATCACTCTGCTGAATGTTTTGATGGTTGCTGATGTGGCTCTTGGGTTCTGGTTGTCAGGTTGTTTTGGAAAGTTTTCTGTGTTTTTGACATGCGCTTTGCAGGGTTTTCTGAGCGGTCTCTTGGTGTTGCTGGTCAGTTGCTGGACTCCTCTGAGTGTTGGTCGGTCAGTGATAGGTTAGTATAGGGTAGGTTAGGTTAGGGTCCCTCACATGGTTTGCAGCTTGACGTGCTGTGAGGGCTTCTGTGCATCAGTGATGCTGAGAGCTTCACCACTGGTACTTCACAAGTACTGGCAGGGTCACCCATAGTGGACAGGTCTCAGCTGAGATGCCAGACCAAGACAAACCACCTGATTGTGGACACCTGATTGTGGCCTGATGTTGCAGGGAATAGATCACAGTCTTAGCACAATTGCCTGCATGGGAGAACTTCAAAAAGGTTTTGTATGTGTAAGGAACAAATGCACCAGTGGGACCATGTTAATAACTTAGAGGAATAAATTACCTAAAAGATTTTCTCGGTCCGGCTTATTTTAATAATAATAATAATAATTCCTTACATTTATATAGCGCTATTCTGGCCACTCAAAGCGCTTTACACAATGGGGGGGATGTCCTCATCCACCACCAGTGTGCAGCATCCACCTGGATGACGCGACGGCACGGCAGCCATTTTGCACCAGACCGCACACCAGCTGATTGGTGGAGAGGAGACAGTGATGAAGCCAATTGAATATGGAGATGGTTAGGAGGCCATGATTGACAGAGGCCAGTGGGCAGATTTGGCCAGGATGCCGGGCTTGAACCCTAACTCTTTTCGAAGGACATCCTGGAATTTTTAACGACCACAGAGAGTCGGGACCTCGGTTTAACGTCTCATCCGAAAGATGGAATTTTAGCTCCTATCCTACGTTAACACACTTAAACCGACTAATTAAAGCGTTATTAGGCTTACCAGAGCGTTATTAGGGTTTAAGGTGTCCACTCTAGACAGGTGTAGGCTTACATAGGTGGTCCTCTTGGACTGGGTTTGTTTGGACACCTCATGCCCTAAAGGGTTGTTGTTGCTAGATTGGATATGGCTGAAAGTTAACAAGAATTATTTGTATTATTTATTAAATTTCCCATTTATTGTATTTTATTAACATCTACACCCACCTCAACCCTAAACCCAACCGTCACAGCTCTGTAGTTGTACCGAGTATTATTTATGCTATCTATTAAATTACCCAATACATTGCATTTTGTAATGCCTACCCCCACCCCAATCCTAACCATCACAGTAGTTAAAATATTAATTGTTGTTAAATTTGGAAGAAATCGGCACTAGGGGGCGCTTTAATACCTCATATGATGTTCAATGTGTAAATAAAATAATTAATACATCATTTTTATTATATATTAGATGTCCTCTTTCAAACAACACTACATCCGAACTGCTTTAATTATTTGTCATTAAAAAAAACTCTGTGCTGTACAAATCTCTAACAATCACAGATATTGCTTATTATTAATTAAAGATTGCTAAATATTAATTGACATTTATTTTTGTTTAAATGTCTGAAAGTGTTTTAAACATGAACCCCAATGTAAAGTAAACCCTGTGAATTGCTGTTTGCAACTTGCATTTAGTTTGGTGTGGTTATGGCTTGTGTTTTCAGAGGTAAATATTACTTCACGCGGGTGGAGGTGAACAATGCTGTTGTCTCATAAATGACAGTAGTCTGAGGTTTAGATCTAGGCTATTGAAAAAGTCACAGAAACCAAAGCCACGTTTCATTCATAGCAGAACAGCACAGCTTTATTTAAAATTGACAGAGGTGTTAACGAGATCAGATCTTATTCCACAAAAAAGGTGGACCTGAAGACACATGACAAATGACTTCTAGCTGTGTGACACCTTATCATGATACCTAATTCATTCCCTAAATGACCATATAAATGTATTGGTAACCCATTAAATTACTGACTAAAATCAATCTGAAATAAAATTCTTTTTAATACACATCAACAAACAGCATTCATAAAACAAAACTGAAACGACTCCTCTGTTTACTAGCACGCTCCGCAAGTTATTCTCACAGCTTATTGCCCGTATACCTCGGGATCGTCTCAAAACCGCTACTTTTAAGATGGTCAGCCGACCTCAATCAAGCCCAAAACAAAGAACACGGAAAAAACGGAGTAGGCACTTCTGTTTTTTTCCACTTTTTCAGGGGCTTTGTGGGCAAAAATCTGCATCTCCACAATATTTGCCATCCCAGTGCTCAATCATTCACTTTGTTGATTAGTGGGTGCTTGAATATTTTTTGTTGCTTTTTAATAACACATATTGAGACTGGTGTTGTGTGACTTCCGCATCCAGACAACTAAATGTGTAATGATATTTTGCAATTAATCATGAAGCAAAATGATTTTGGATCCGTCTGATTGGTGCAAATATATGTAATAATTTGTTGACTCTCAAACAGTAGTTTACACAAAGCTAAAAGAAGATTAAGAAGGCATCGTAGAGCTCGCTGTTGTTTTGTGAACATCAACACTGAACTTTGAGGTCAATGCTGTGGGGAGAAGTAAATGGGATAGGGAAGACAACATTGACTTTCTTCAATACTTTTTGGGTCATAGATGAATGACGAGCTGCGCAAAGGGAGACCAGTTCAAACAAAGGTAATAAACAAAGCTGAAATAAAACATATGAAGTTCTGCTTCGGTGTTCCTTTGTGTTAGAAATTTAGTAGATGTGGCTCATAGATGAATAACTGAAGGGTTAGTTTAAGTTTAAGGTGCTGACTTTCTTCCAGTGTTAGAGTTGAGATTAAATGGGAGAGCCCAGACCATATGGATACTCAGTGTAGATTTCGCTTGAAGACTTCTGAATGTTAAAAGGGGCATTACGGACCCTTCCAGGGGCTGAGAATGGGAAGGTTTGTTGGTTAATAATAACTCTTGAGTCCATTCTGTGTTCCTTTATCTCTTTTCCAATCCTTTATCTCTACATGGTGCTTGCATAATGAGGATGAACTGAGGTGGAAATTCTTGTTGACTTGAAAGTAATACAGAATCCATATTTACTGCCAGACATGACAGAGTCCATCGTCCGTTCGCTTTCAGCCCCATCCACCAGAAGTCTTCCTTGAAAAATCTCTTTGTGGCACGAGTGAGGCGTTTTCCTCGAGCTCTTCCTGGTATTCCTTTCTCTTTCTTTCTCTTTCCTTATCCGTCTTGGGAGGTGAAAGGGTGAAGGGTGGGATTTTAGGGAGGAGAAGGTGTCGTGGTCTTCCATGATGGAGTGTTGACAGGCCTTTAGTTCCCACAGCAGCTTCAGGTGGACTGTGCGTCTGGGTCCTGCAGGTTCACGCCCCTGTGTCGCGCAGCATGCGTAGGGTTTTGGGTGTCTGTTTTTGGCATTTTTTTGCTATTGAGAAATAAACAAGAGTTGAAAAGTCAAGAGGCTGAGTTACATTCATTTATGCCATGAAAATGAAAGTCATCTCTCTGGCTGTCTTTAATAATTCAGTTTATTTTATCTAAAATGGACTGGAAATTTGCTTTCAAGCTTTGCCGCCATCCAGTAACAACTGAAAGGAATAAAAAAGTACCTGTCCTACATTTGTTTGTTACTTTCTGATAGTTTTACTTTTAATTCAGAAGAAAAATTTGACACTACTTTCATTTCATTGCAGTTATAAAGGGTTATGTTACAAGCATAATAAAAATATTAGCTGCCCCAAAATGTGTGTGTCATTTCAGCTTAAAACACCCCACTCATCATTTAATTATTTGTGCTGGGGATGTCCAGGAAGCAAACAAAAACCTTTGCAAATGAGAATCTTTCCAGATCAGAAAAGTGAATATTACAGCTTGTGCCCAAACAACGGCAACCTCCCGCTCTCCGTCATGAAGCAAATACAGAAGTAATTGAAAATGCAGTTCAATGAAATTCTGGCAGTCCTGGCTCCATAGGGAGCAAATTTCTATTGAGCCCACTGTTAAAATGGCCAACTTTACAGCAGAAAAGAAGGTGTTTACAGCCTGGTACAAAGAACGATTTTGGTTCATAAAGGTGGTCCCGCTCCCCATCTCCACCAGAGAAGCGTGGCGACCAGAAGAGACCACGTCGCTGAGAGATCTTCATCCAAGAGACCTGGAGCCAACGTGTAAATATTGTACATAGTTTCTTAGTAAAAGATAATAAAGATTATAGCTGCATGAACTGTGTGGACTGGTTAACCTTCACTCCAGCAGTGCAACACACACTAATTAATTCATTAACACAATATTATGAAGTTTTGCTTTAATTTAGGAAAAGAAAACCTCTTCTGTGCTAAAATCGGATGTTTTTTCAGCGTTCTTACTTCAGTCTTTAATGTCAGGTGATCCTTCAAATGTCAGTGTAAAGTGTTGAGTATACTATTAGTGCTCAGTCGTGTTTTTCATAGTTACCAGTGCTGATGGAGTTTTTTTTTTTTAAAGCGTCATATTCTGCTGGAAACGTTTCATTTTAATGGTAATGTCCCATAAGCTGAGGTCTTGTGAGTGACTTCCCAAGTTGGTCAAAGTCTACACCGGTGACATGCTCATCTACTCCCAGAACCTGCTACTCTCTACCTACACGTTGTCAGCTGATGTTTCAAAACCTCAACACTCGCATACAGAACAGCCTCAGCGTCTGCACCTCTTACCAGCACTAGCTGCAAGTCTACACCCCCTCTGTCCAGAAGTGAGCACAGCCTCGTGGTACCATCCCAGCAAGCATTTTTTTGGGGGCGTTTAAAGGTGCCAACTGACGATCAAAAGTAAAAATGACTAGTTTTATCTCATCCCAGCAGGGAAACCACCAACAATAAAGAATGAGTTACTATCTGGTGTCATGGCTTTGCAATTAAAACAAGTTTAGTTATAATGGAGGTCATTGGGGGCAAAAACAGCCACTTGAACAATACATAAGGGTTAAAAGTCTAACAGACGGCTTGGTTAAAACGAGGATAAAATCTAGGCTGTCAGTGAGTGTGCACCCCTAACCCCGCCTCTCACAGTGACCTCACTAGCTCCATTGAGTGCATTGTGTCTCAGGTTGCATGCAAGTCTGCAGCCAGATACTACTGGAAGCTAGTCATCAAATACACAAGAACGAATGACTACACGTGTCAATCTGTCTATTGATCCATCTAATCTGTCTAGTCAGTCTTTTATTATCTTTTATATGCGAAATTATTCATTCATAAAAATATGTATATATGAACACTGGGTCAAATAGGGTCCACGTGTTTTAAATCTAATAACAAAAATAACCCAATGTTGGTTTTGTCCATATTTAAATGAATGTGTGTAAATGCACGCTTTGATCAAACCTTTTATTCCCCTTGATGATATGGTGCTTTTTTTCCTAGACGTCCTCCAAAGTTTCGATGTTTGGCCGTGTCTGCCATATCTGTTTTGTTTAAAGAAAAAAAAAAAAAAAAAAGAATGCATCGGTTCCTGCATGTAGAATTCAGAAATCTCATGGCATTGAAAGAAAACTGGCAGCAGTTGAGTGCCGAGGTCAAAGGTCAGATGAGCAGGCACCACACCTGATCCAAACCTGGGGCAACTGTACAGTAAAAAAAACAACAAGATTAAGAAATATTGCTTTAATTTGGGAGAAAAAAAAACTCTTCCGTGTTAAAATTTGATGTTCCTCCAGCGTTCTTACTTCAGTCTTTAACGTCAGGTGATCCTTCAAATGTCAGTGAAAAGTGTTGAGTATACCATTAGTGTTCAGTCGTGTTTTTCATAGTTACCAGTGCTGATGGAGTTTTTTTAGAGCGTCATATTCTGCTGGAAACGTTTCATTTGAATGGTAATATGCCATAAGCTGAGGTGTATGAGTAATTTCACAAGTTGACCATAGTCTAGAACGATGACATGCTCATCTACTCCCAGAACCTGGGAGAACGAAATGTTGCAGCTCGTCCGGTCTTCAATGATGAGCCCAAAAGAGGCCACTTCACAGAGCCGGCCCAAGGCTTAAGAGAACTGAGAGGCAGGACAAGATGGCTGGCTGGACTTGGTTAACTTTAGATTTTACACAAATCTCATTATTTTGTTTTTCACCTAAAATAGTAATTAAAACATCCAAGATGTGTTTTGCCTCATCAAAATGTGGAATTTGATCAGCAAACTACTCGTTCTAAGACAACTATGCCTTCGGCTAAATGACTTGGCTTCAAGTACGATGCCAGACGATTCAGAAATAAAAGGTACTGACTGCACAAACAGATAAACGACATGATGCATCTCATTTCACCACAACTAAAGGCAGCGACAAAAAAAAAAGTCAAGCTCTCACTGACTTACTGTCTCATATGGTGTCGAAGGTCCACTGATCGTTCTTGAAGAAGGGGTGACATTTTATTTCATCCACTCCAGTCCGGCCAAGCCTCACCTCCCTGAACATAGCACAACACTGGTCAGCAAAACAAACAGAGAAGCGCTAATCCGTTAAATGACCATACACCAAGAACATCCAACAGCACAGCATGGAGGAGTGGAGCAGTCAGAGAGACATCCAAAAATAAGGACCGTTCACTCCCCCTTCCTTTTACTTCATCTGCATTGAGGCGGTGCAGCAGTTTGGACTACCACGTGTGGGACATTCCAACAGCCTGAATGCAAAGGGAGGAGTGTGTGTGTGTGTGTGTGTGTGTTTACATGAAAACATTGAGAGAAAACATTAAGCCCCTCTCTGTATGTTTGATCAGGAATGCTTGTATGTGGGCATGTGAGAGAGGAGAAAGAGGGAAAGAGAAAAGAGGAATTCAGATGGAAGTTGTCAGGCTGGAGGGTGAACGTCCATGAAGCTGATATAGTAAAAGCAGTAGGAGATGAAATGTATGTTTTATTAGGGACTTTATTTATAAAGAGCTTTTAAAGGCATAACATAAATAAAGATCATCTTGTATGTTGTCTTTAAATTTTATCTAATTTAATTCAATTAAAATGTTGATATGGCTTAGTAAGTTTTTTGGCGATTTGGTGCTTAAGAAATATTTCTTGTGATTATTATTATTATTATTACTATTCAGAATTATATGTATATTTTTAGAATTTTTCTAAAACCATTAAAGAAAAAAAATCTTATTGACCCTAAACCTTTAAAAAAATAGGGAACATTTCATAAACACTGATAAAACTTTTTTTTTCACTGATAAAACTATTTATTTATATTTTAGGTATGTGTAGTAATCAGGCTTAGATTATATTAACATTGTTGTATTTTGTCAAATATACACATAATTTACTAATTCAATCAATCAGAACACTACAAAGTGTCAACAACAACACTGGGTTGTGCAAAACTGTGTGTCAATTATACAGGGCTGCAAAATTATGAGAAAAAAAATCATTGAATATCTTGAACGGTTTAATAAAGATTATTCATTTTTTTATAGCCAACATTTGTGTTTGGGGAAATGGATCATCATATTCTGGCTACAGAGACAAAATATGTTTTTCCATCACATTAGCTGAGAATAAACTAAGCAAAAACTGCTAATTTTTCTCACTGAAGCTGCTAAATTAATCTCCTTTTTTTCTGTGCCTGGTAATTTATGGCAAGAAAACTTTACTGTTTTCAGTAATAACAAATCTTAGGTACTCTATGTTTACATTATATATGTTATAAACTACAGCAGAAATCTGATCAAAATGTGTAAAAAATTGTCAAGAAAATGTACTTTTTTTTTTACAGTGAAGCTAATTTCAAATTGAAAAAATAATAAATTAATTTCACTACCAGCCGACCTCTAAAAGCAAACAAGTAAGGTTTTTTTTTAAGCTAGTGTGTCTAGTTAAAGCAGTAGGACATTAAAGTTTTATGAAAGACTTATTGTATGAAGAGCTTTTAAAAGCATCAAATTAATATAGACTTGTATGTTCTCCTTTAATTAAATTAAAAAATATATGATTTGGTGTTTATGAAATATTCCCTGAGATTGTCATTTTGGAAAAAAGTACAACGATAGGGAAAAATAGGGAAAATTTCATATGATAACAACGATAACAAATCTAAGCTCTGTGATTATATTAAATACGTTATAAACAGGGCTTGACATTAACACCCGCCAAATGCGGGTAGATTTCAGCTGTGGCAGGTTAGACAGCCACTCCCACTAGCCACTTTGAGAATACATGAGAATATTGTTTTTAAGTGTCAACTGTGTATAAAAAGTGTATGTATAGCTATATTTAGTTTGCTTTACACATTATTTAAAATGTGTTTCTAAGTAATAATTAGTTCGGTGCAGCCAGAGAAAAACTTTGCAAATCCTTAGTGTCGAGCCCTGGAAACTCATGTGAAATAAACTATTTATAAAAATAAAACTAAATTAATTGCATAGTGACACTATAAAAATCACATCCCCTGTACTCATGCTCATTGAGCAAGGTCATAAACAACACACAAAAATATTAAATGAACAAGGAGGCATGTGGACACAAAGTATAAATTAAGTAAAGTTAGCATGTCAAATTCAAATTTATGAATATAAAATATATTTTTCCAACATTAAAATTGTGGCTAGTGAAAATGGCGAGTGGCTAGTAATGTTGGAAAACTCCTAGCCACTGTGGCTGGTGATCAAAAAAGGTCATGTCAAACCCAGGTTATAAACTCCAAACTACAAAAGAAATCTCATCATGTGTGTAATAAATTGTCCTGAAAATTAGCTCTTTTTTACAGTAAAGTTAAATTCAAATTAATAAAAAAATACATGTTACCAGCCAACCTCTAAAAACAAACAAGTAAGGGTATATTAATCGAGTAAGAGTCTGAAATTTACAAGAAAAAAAAAAAAAACTCAAATCAAACTTTCATTTTCTCAGTCTCACTTGCTACTCAGAAAGGCACAGATGAGGTCTTTGCCATCCTTTGACATTTCAATATCATCTGGGAAAGTTAAGATGTTCTTGTGATCCATGATCTTTCCATATGTGCCCACCAGAGACTCGGAATGAAATGGAGTGTCGCCTGCCCAGATCAACAGAAGAAAACATTTGATTATGAGAACACTGAAATAAAATTACAAGAGATGCATATGAAGCTGACACTACTCACCCACTAGAAGCTCATAAATGAAAACACCAACAGACCACCAGTCACACTCACAACCGTAATAACCAGTCCCTCCTTGAGACATTAAAACCTCTGGAGAAATGTAATCAGGTGTCCCAACAGCAGTGTTCACAGCGTACCATATCAGTCTAAACACACATGAAGACACATGGATATAAACATTACTGGCTGAGTTAATGTAGCTGAAATACAAGTATGTTTAAAATTTAAATTATTTACACAATTCATATTCATTCAATTCAAGGACTGCATTGTATAATCTAGCCACAAGATGGCAGCACTAACATCTGTCATAACCGAATGGAGGCTTTCTGTAACGTACGTTAATGATTGTTTAAACAAATTTGCTGCAATGTGTGAGGTGATAATTGTAAATCTCTACACTACAAAATCTTAAAGAAACTCTCTCATTCTCGGTCATGTATAGTACATCTAAACACACCAACTACTAGTGTATGATATTTATCGTTTTCAATAAAATTGTAATTGTATTGTGGGCTGGCATTACAGAGAGCTTCATTCAATTGAGAAAAACAAACAAAATCACGTCCTGAGAGTCCAAAAGCATTTAAAACTATTGGAAAGCAGTCCCAATGACAAATAGATAGGTTAAAATATCCCTTTATGGGGTTTTGTTTATAAAATGTGTAAGGTTTTGTGAAATAATACAAGCAAGTTAACACAAGCAGGCTTTCCTGAACATCCATTAAAACACAATAATGCGAGTTCTGTTCAACAGATCAACAGAAAATACCAAACAGCTGAAGCAAAAAATGTGCATCTTAGGAGAAGAGTTTGTGTGTGTGTGTGTGTGTGTGTGTGTGTGTGTGTGTGTGTGTTGAACTTCAATCTGTTTTAAATAAATCATCAACAAAGACAGTCACTAATTGCTTCACTGTAAACGATTTCTTGTTAAATTAACAGTAAGTTACTGGCAACAATTATCCAGTAGCTGCTGTATTTCATAAAACAGTAACATTACTGTAATACTAATTACATTAGTATTAGATTTACTGTAAAATGTAATACATCATTTTACTGTTTTCTTTTTTTACTGTAACACCAATTACAGTAGTGATACACATACTGCAAAACTGAAAACAGTATTTCACTGTACATTTTTACCATGCAGAACTACGGTATTTTAACGTTACTTTCATTATTACTGTATAGTATTTTACAGTTATTAAATGTTATTTTAATGTTTTTAATAGTGCTACTTTATATTGGGCAAAACATTTTCAAAAATTGCACAAATATTATTTTAACTGTTCAAGAAATACAAGAAAAATAAAGAAATTGAAACTTTAACTTCACAATAAAAGTTTATTGTGTAAACCCTACTGAAACAGTAGCAATTATTCAATATAACAAAGCAACAGAACACTAATGAACAATTGATCATTAAAACCAGTCAACAATTAATGCATCAAAAAGTATTACAATTTTAAAAACAGGTGAAAATACTGCTACAAGACAGGAAATGATGAAGTTCAAATGATGTTGTGGAAAAGGGACAGTGAAAAAGGGCAGCAACATGATGATGATCCTGCAAAAATGACAAGCAAAATCAATCACTGGAGAAAAAACTAATCATGCCTCAAATTATTTCATTCATTTAGAAACCAAACACCGCACTGCAGTTTTATATATATAAAACACTGTTTTTTATTGTTTTTGTTGGGGAAATAGTTTGTTGTCAATTTACAATTACACTAATGTTAATGGGGAAAAGATCAGTCAAGTCAACACTAGTCAAGTGTCCACACAGATATGTAAAAAATAAAGTCTCATCTTAACTTAATATCTGACTCTGTATAACTTGAATATCTGATTCCATGACCACACTAGCGCTTCCACGGATTTAAGAGGGGTGAACACACTTCATTCTGACCTTAAGAGGCTACATATTAAAAATAAATAAATAAATAAAATAATCTAATTTAATGTGAATAATGTTAATCAAGTACTTTTAACATGTGAAAATCCACTTCTAACTTACAGACAAGATTACGTTAGAGAACATGAAAGCCATGGGTGATTTTTCAAAAAAAATAATGCTAATGATAAGTTACTGACATTTGGTTCGTATAAAACAAAGTAATCACTAAGCATTCATTTTTGGCAAAATCTGCCGAGAGGTGCAGCGACACGATCAAATGTGTTAAAGTTGAGCAGAGAACTGAAAAGTAGTCAAGCAGTCTACTTCATGAAAAGTTTGCGGTAATATTTTGCGGTCAATTCGTATTACTGTATTTCAATATGCAGTGATGGCATGTCAGTGAGACAAATAAATATTATTACACCTCACGAGTGACATTGCCTCAAATTAAATCATCATGACGTTACTGTGCACAGCATCAGTAAAACGTTAAAAATTATTTAAATACCAAATTTTTTAAAACAGAAATCCTGAATGCATGATAATATGAAGATTTATTACTCACTGATGTCAAAGCACTTCCAGGTCGTCAGAGATGTAGACAGGACAGAATATGTGCCATCAAATGAGCTCTTGTGCAGCCTTTGCTGGACATCAAGGTAGTATGTTCACCCACACTGTAAATAAAAAAAAAATCTGTTATTTTACATGTTTTTTTTCCCAGCAGCTAGGGTAATAGAGTCATTTGGTTAAGTCAAGTGGTTTAAAATCATTTTATTTATTAAATACTTGCTTACCCATATATAGATGTAAAAGTAACCAAAATAAATAATTTATTCAAATGTGAGAGATACTAAGCATGTTTGGTCTACAGAGAGAAGTAAACATTTACTTTAAGCATTGATCCTAATGAATCTATTTCTGAACTACATCCAACCTCGCCTCGGAAACAGCATTTTTGAGCATTTAGATCAGGGGTGCTCAACCCTGTTCCTGGAGATCTACCTTTCCGCAGAGCTCACCTGCAACCTTGATCAAACACACCTGTCTTTATTTACCAAGTGCTCCTTCAGATACTATTTAGTTTGTTTAGTTGCGTTTGATCAGGGTTGGAGCTAAACTCTGCAGAAAGGTCGATCTCCAGGAACAGGGTTGAGCACCCCTGTTTAAGACAATGAAAAATAAGACATCTAGATGATATTTTATATTCAATCATTTGTTGTGAAATTTAAATGACTTCTATTCAGTATATACATAAAATAAAATTAAAATAAGAATAAATAAAAAAAAATACTCAATGCCAAATATAATACTTCAGATCTTAGTAAAGCAGGTGTTTTTACCTAAAGGTTCCTTTCCTCCAGTTAGTTTAGTTGCAGATCCCTCCACATCTGTGCTTTATTTGGTTCTTGACTTAAGAGTATCTGGTGTCACATTCCAGGTCCATCACAATCTGAGCTAGAAAGACAATATGGCAAAAGACAAGACACATATAAATAAGTCTCAGAATAAAATATTTAAAAGGATAGTTTACTATTCTGCCACCATTACTCCATGTGTTTTAAATCCATTTAAATTTCTGATGAACACTAAAGCAGATATTTTGAAGAATGTTAGAAACCAGAAACTATTGACATCCATATTTGAACCAAATTTCTTTAAAAAAATATGAGTTTGTGTTCAATGGAACAAAAAAATCTAACTATTTTGAAACAAGTGGAGGATGCCAAAGATGCCATTATTTTCATTTTTGGGTGAACTGTCCCTTTAATTCAAGTGTCACGCATTACTCATAAAAACTGATGTATTGCTTGAGGAAAACTAAATCAAGTACCTCCTGTGAGCAAGCAGAATCATTATGCCATTGTATCCAGCCAACTGAACCAGCCGAGGCTCGAACCAGCAACCTTCTTGCTGTGAGGTGACAGCACTACCTACTGTGCCACTGCGTCGCTACTGGAAGAAGAAAAAGAGGTTGTACATGAAACTCCTCACAACAAATCTGTGAACAACTTGACATTTCAAAATCTAATCAAAATGAGGAAGACATCAACATTACCTTGAATAATCAAGAGAGGAGAGATTGGTAGCATCAGTTTTTCAACATCAATTGCTGTGGCTGCAAAAAAGATAAATATAATAAGAGTAAAATAATACTTAACATTTAATAATCTAAATCTATGGTACAACCATACAAATCTGTATGGGGTTCAAATAAATTTGTATACAAATCATTCCCTACACCTGAACACCAAAGATAAAATGTACAATTAATGACACACTAACGTTATACAATAAGCTCATTAACCAGTGAGAAATAGACAATTAATATGAATTATGTTAATATTAACGTTAGCTTAAAAGACATAAACTGAATTTTATTATCAGCTCAATTTAATAAAACAGTTAGACTTGTTTCATTAGTGAGTTTAGTGAATAACTAACTTACAGTTTACATATTTAACCATAATGATAACTTAGTCATAATGACCACATGAAGACCAGAGCTCACCTTAACGTTAAACGTTTAACTTTTCATGGTGACGTTGCCTTCATCTCAGTGTTGTGCTGAAATAGAGAATTCATTAATGCAGTTAACGTTAACCCCAAGTAAAAGTTACGTTTTTTTTCAGGTAACGTTACTATGGTCAAAAACTCACTCAAGATAAACTCACTGTACGTTATCTAATACCTCGCAAACACTACAAACACGGTCTGGCATCGAATAACGTGACATAAGTACCTACAACTAACGTAACTTGGTTAATTATTTAAAATTACACACACACTACACGGAAAAATATACAAAACAATCATTTAACGAACAGAATTTGACTTTTAAAAACTTACCGAGGAAGAATTCACTGGAGAAAAGGCGACAGGTGGAATTCAAATTAGGATAGCCGTTGCTTGCCTGGTGAAGGTCGAATCGAGTCGGCTCGGTTCTATGAATCGGCTCCTTAGAACAGTAAAGAGTCGAATCCGCCTAAAACCGATTCCTTTTTGTATATTATTGTAAGACACAACAATGAATCATTACTATTTCGTTATACTGCTCGGTCACACACATTTATACACATATTGCTGAATGTGCTTGTGAACACGTGTGATAAAATAATTCCCGAGCAAACGGTTCAATCCAATTCGGTGTCGTTTGAGTTCTGAACCGAACCAGTGCAAACGTGATATTGATAAAATAGAAATATTGTTTTTTTTCTCACTTTACCAGCAAAAATATTACATATATCTGACTTTAACAATAAGAATAAGGTTCGCTTGAAGTGTTTTGAGAATTAATATTTTTTTCTCCCAGAGTTCATTTTACACCAACAAGCAAATATGGCGGATGAGAAAAGCCAGATCATATCATAAATACTGCGTTTAATATGTTACGAAATTAAGTTTTAACAGTTTTTAATGCGAGAATGTAGTTCTTCCTAACTCAAATCTGTGGTTTGTTTTTAGATATCATGTCTAATTTTAAGTGTGCTTTGCCGATAGGGGAGATTCTGACCTCCAGGGGTTGACGGCGCTCCATCACTCATGTATCCGGCAAACCTCATGCTTTACTCGGCCTGGACATTATTGAGACATGCCCCTGTCTTCGATGACTAGATAATAAATGTGTTATGATATAAAGTTTTAACCGTTTTTCATGCGAGAATGTAGTTGTTTTAAACTCAAGTCTGTGGTTTATTTATTAAGATAGTGCGTATTTTAAAATATTGTTTTGAAAATGCGGAGATATGTGACCTCTACGGTGGCCCATATGGGTGCCCAATATTCTTGAATCCGTCTAAAGCAGGTTGGTCAAGCTGACTTTGAAATCATTTTGTGTGTTTAACAGTCTTTG